GCACGAAAACAAGAGGCGGGATTTATCACACGAACCAATCACATCCAATCATAACTGATCATATCCAATTATAGTGCGATGGAGGCATTGCCTCCTCTCACGTGACTTTCCCCCATTCATCTCAATGAGCCTCCAGAAAAGTCACGGCACGCTTTAGGGTCTCTGTAGAAAGTCTATGGACCGAAGGGAGGCAAGCCTCCGCTGTAACTTTACCTGCGGGTGTCGCTGTTTGACAGTGTTACTTCATAAAAACGAGTGACTTTTATACTTTTAATGCCATATTTAGTAATATTTGCGATTTATGTTTGTAATATCGATTATTTTGTCATCCAATTTTTGAGGAGACACTGCCTCCCTTGCCTCCTCGGAGGGAATGCCCCTGATACATATATATAATGAATGAAATGAATAAATGAAAATGAAAAAAATATCTTTGGTGTGTTCATTTAATCAATAACAGTGTAGAAAGCATGCACTGCTTACTAAAATAGGTTAAAGTGCTTGTTGGGTCAATATGATGGATCCCCCGTGAAACCGATTCAGAGCAAATACATAAATACTGAAAAACTTTAGCTGAAGTATGAGGAGAGACTCACAGCTTCCTGCTCCTGGGCATCAATATTTGCTGTCTGAGTGTCCACTGGCTCAGGGACTGTCAATGCAGCGAACTGTAGATTGAGAAACAGAAGCCTATAAGAGACATAGCAGAGCAAAAACCTGAGAAACTGAGAAACCACTGGATCTCACCTTCTTCTCAAACTCATCCACCATGCCTGCTTTGGCCACAACACTCCTGTAGTGACTCCAATCGATGGTAGCTGGTTTCTCTGGCAAGGATCTAAGTCTGCAAGTAAAAATAGTTCAGCACAAATAATAATTGACTTGTTTGATATGAAATTTTAGTTTGTGTAATTTGCAAAATCTATATCTAAATCCAAAAACCTGTGTTTGTGTAATTCAGCATTTATTCACACTACTAGTCAAATGTTCGGAATATTTGCGATTTTAATATTTTTGAAAGACGTCTTTTATTATCACCAATGCTAGGTTTATTTAATCAAATATACAGTAAACCAGTAATATTGTGAAATATTATTACAATTTAAAACAACTGTTTTCTATGTGAATCTAATTTAAATACAATTTATTCCTGTGATGCAAAGCTGAATTTTCAGCATCATTACTCATGTCTTCAGTGTCACATGATCCTTCAGAAATCAATCTAATATTCTGATTTGCTGCTCAATTATTAACAATGGCTCTTATTATTATCAATGTTGACAGTTTTTGCAGGATTTATAATACTTAAGGAATACTTTTTTTCAGGATTGTTTGATGAAAAAGTTCAAGAGAACAGCATTATTTGAAATATACATTTTGTGCAACATTATAAATGCCTTTACTGTCACTTTTGATCAATTTAATGTGTCCTTAATGATTAAAAGTATTCATCCTGAATGGTAGTGTATCACAGTTTCCACAAAACTATTAAGCGTCACAAATAATCATATTTGTTTGGAGCAGCAAATCAGCATATTTGAAAATAAATTTAATTTTTAATTACATTCAAATAGAAAACTATTATTTCAAACTGTAATATTTAACTATAAGTTGTAAACGTCGAGACTGAATCGTGAAGCATCACAATATTGGAACCACTCTGTGGCGACGCATCAGAAAAGAACATTTTTGTCTAATACTGTCTGGACAACATAACTGGCTCTGACTGGACTGAGACAAACTTTGAAAGAACTATTGCTAAATAAAGCATAGACAGCTTTAGTCACGTTTTATATCCCCCAACATACAGTACACTTATTACCAGGACAGTCCATTGACCTGCACCTGACCTATGGTGTTTCGCTCAAGGGCACAATGATGATGGTTTATGTATCGCCCCTTGATGGTTCAAAACAAAAAACCAGCACAGCTTTGAAACCCCTAGGGTAATAAACTACGTGCTAGTAGAAATTGTGGAGTTGATGTCCTTCATGTATAGCAGCAGTCAGACTCACTTTGCTGCGATGGAATCACTGCGGGTCTTCAAGCTGTTGAACATGGCTCTCTGGTTCGGTGGGACCCTCTCCGCAAAAGCCACCCAGTCAATGGCCTTTACAGCTGCACGGCGACCTGCCATCTCTCTGCTCCTGTCAAAACATTTCATGTAGACATGGTTATTAAGAATGACAAAGATCTTTCACAAGTTTAGCAAACTGGACCAACTACATGCAAAGCAAATTATTGGGCCACCTGGTGTAATAAGACTTTAAATATGTTTATAATATAATGTTTTTATTATTATTTTGAAGTCAAGCACTTAATGTTATCCAGATTAACATATTCAACATGTACATCTAATCGGTCACAGAACGCCAACATACACTGAGAAAGACACCAGCCAAGTGGCTCTAACTTAGCATACTGGGGAAAAAAACGTTTTCGCATTTAAATAGATTTCGTAACAGTCAATCGTTTTCCGTTTTTATCAGAAATTATGTTAATAACAGCATCTGCAAAGAAAAGCCTTCTGTACACAAGTGAACAAGACAAGGTCAGCGTATGACTTATACAAGATAAACACAAATATAACCGGCCCAAAACCGCGTAATTTCTCATAAACAGGGAAGATAAAGCCTAATGTTTATCTTTTATTCAAATGAAAACAAACGGCGTTGTAATATTTGTCAAATGACTGCATTTCGACGCGTACTTACTGCTCAAGGATCAAGCCGCTGCAATGACAGAAGCGTGATGGCCGCCGGAGAGCGGAAGCGCGGTTAAGAAAGTACTACTGACACTACTGACACCCAGCGGACTGGAGAAAACACCACACTGCGGTGCACTTGCACTAGAGAGCGCCAAACAGACATATCGTTCATCACTCAGATTGTGTAGCTTTCAGGCCATTCATCAAAAGCTGATAAAATGTAATTTTAGCAGAACAAAATTCAAGTCAATAGCCAACTCTTTCAAGAAAAAAGACGAAAATATTGCTGACTCCTCCGGCATGGTTTCTGTTAAAGGGGTCATATGATGTTGCTAAAAAAGAACATTATGTTGTGTATTTGGTGTAATGCAATGTGTTTATGCGGTTTAAGGTAAAAAAAAACACATTATTTTCCACATACTGTACATTATTGTTTCTCCTCTATGCCCCGCCTTTCTGAAACTCGTCGATTTTTACAAAGCTCATCGGTCTGAAAAGAGAGGTGTGCTGTGATTGGCCAGCTATCCAGTGCGTTGTGATTGGCCGAATACCTCAAGCGTGTGACGGAAATGTTACGCCCCTCACCATACTGTGATGCCCTGTCCCGGCGCAACAAGACAAAAACAATAAAACCCATTATAAACGAGGCAGTTGTTACTGATTATAATGATTTAGGGGCCATTCACATGTCGCGCCTAAAAACGCGTGAAAAACGCTAGGCGCGCCGCTTTCTGCTTTTTCCCAAAGCGTTCGGGCGCTTGCGCTCCGGAGGCGTCTGCCGTTGCTAAGCAACCTTGACCTGCGCTGTCCATGAAGACGCGGAAGTTTCAAATTGTAGGCTACTGTCCCAGGAAACAGTCCTCATCCTCCGCAAAATGCACTGGACACATCTGAATATTTGGGTTAAACTGTTCTGGAACAGTGTTGTAAATACAACTTAACCACTGATTTCTAGTTGTGTCCTCTTCTGGAAGGCCAAACAAAGTAGTTTTGCTTTCACAACGAAAAAGCGGCCTTGAGTGAGCGGGGCCAGCTTGAGTGAGCGGAGGCGGGCGGGCTTCAGAACGGGGCTTCCCTTTAAGTTTTAATAGGCAATCTAGAGGTCTGCAGACTCTGCACACATTTAGTCTAAAATATGAAAATAATTAGTTCATTAGGCTATATTATTAAACAATGTTAGCTACCTTTATGGCAACCGTGGTGTTGCTGTTATTTTAAAATCTTAATAAATTGCTGCGGGATCTCCCTCAACATCTGATGTCAATATATAGGCCTACATGTTTTTTTTTTGTTTTGTTTTTTAAAGAATTGTTTACATATTTACACTAAACCCTTTCAATGTTCAGCTGCCCCTTGGCATGTTGTGTTGGCTAATTTGTTTATGTAAGTGGATGATGCAAGTCACCTTGTTTACTATTTTAAGGCACAGCCATTTTAACCTGTGCTAGTCTTACATTTCACCTGTGGCCTTATGCCTGCCTGTCACTTTCATTAATTTGCTGGGGCATTCTAAGTAGTGAAACAGGTCCCATTTCCATTTTGAAAAGGTGATTTTCATAGTAAATTTCTGTATGATTTTTGAATTTAGATAAAAATTAGCGCGGTAAAGTTAGTTTTAGGTTTGATATTCGCCAGACATTCGCCTAGGCTGCTTTAGGGACCGTCTGCAAATTTACCTCTCAGTACAAAACGAAGTCCAGTAATTAATACAATTTATGTTTACAACGCCATAGTAAATGTCTTGTGGGCAAACTGACCGAACATATTTAACCAATATGTCGCCATAGACAATATCTCCCTTACTGTATGTACAGTACACAACTATTTTCTATTTTACTATTTTATAATTCACCAAAAGTTTTTTTTTCATGTTCCAAAGGTTGTAGTACATTTGTAGTTACAAGACTGACTTACTACAGGTGAAATGTTGCCAATATCTCCCTAACTGTACATACAGTACATAATTAATCTGCAAAAACCATTACTGTAATTCACCAAAAGAGTTTTTTATGTTCCAAAGACTGTAGTACATTCCTAGTGGCCAGACTGACTTACTACAGGAGAAAGTTTGCCAATATCACCCTTACTGTACATACTGTACATAATGAATCTTCAAAAACCATTACTGTAATTCACCAAGTTTTTTTTTCATGTTCCAAAGGCTGTAGTACATTTGTAGTTATGAGACTGACTTACTACAGGTGAGATTTTGCCAATTTGTTTCTTACTGTACTCACAGTACATAATTAATCTTCGAAAACAATTACTGTAATTCACCAAAATGTTTTTTTATGTTCCAAAGGTTGTAGTACATTCCTAGTGGCCAGACTGACTTACTACAGGAGAAAGTTTGCCAATATCACCCTTACTGTATATACAGTACATAATTAATCTGCAAAAACCATTACAGTAATTCACCAAAAGGGTTTTTTTATGTTCCAAAGGCTGTAATACATTCCTAGTGGCCAGACTGACTTACTACAGGTGAAAGTTTGCCAATATCACCCTTACGTACATACAGTACATAATTAATCTGCAAAAACCATTACTGTAATTGACCAAAAAAGGGTTTTTTCATGCTCAAAGGCTGTAGTACATTTGTAGTTATGAAACTGACTTACTACAGGTGATATTTTGCAAATATCTCCCTTACTGTACATACAGTACATAATTAATCTGCAAAAACCATTACTGTAATTGACCAAAAGGTTTTTTTTCATGTTCCAAAGCCTGTAGTACATTTGTAGTTATGAGACTGACTTACTACAGGTGAGATTTTACCAATTTCTTTCTTACTGTACGCACAGTACATAATTAATCTTCGAAAACAATTACTGTAATTCACCAAAAGGGTTTATTTCACGTTCCAAAGGCTGTAGTACATTCCTAGTGGCCAGAATGACTTACTACAGGTGAAAGTTTGCCAATATCACCCTTACTGTACATACAGTACATAATTAATCAGCAAAAACCATTACTGTAATTGACCAAAACGGTTTTTTCATGTTCCAAAGGCTGTAGTACATTTGTAGTTATGAGACTGACTTACTACAGGTGAGATTTTGCCAATTTCTTTCTTACTGTACGTACAGTACATAATTAATATTCGAAAACAATTACTGCAATTCACCAAAAGTTTTTTTTTTTCATGTTCCAAAGGCTGTAGTTCATTTGTAGTTTCGAGACTGACTTACTACAGGTGAGATTTTGCCAATATCGCCCTTACTGTACATACAGTACATAATTAATCTTTGAAAACAATTACTGTAATTCACCAAAAGTGTTTTTTATGTTCCCAAAGGTTGTAGTACATTCTAGTGGCCAGAATGACTTACTACAGG